TCGTATCAACCATTCAATGATATGTAATGATATTAAAAAAAAAACTAACAACCATTAAGGTAGTCTCTGAAAATTCATTTTAAATAAACGACAGGTTTAATTTGCTCTCGGACTAGATTGCCATCTTTATTAATGCGATACAATCAAGGTACACGCCATGGAAATCAAAATAAAGTAAAAATTAAAATCAATTCCGCTATATAGTATGCAAATATTATTTTACCCACATAATACCATACATTGGGGGCAAACAAATGTGAAACAAACAGTAACGTCAGAGGTCTATTTAATGAATCAATTTGCCGCCATTTCGAACAAAAATGGAAGTGTTGATGCTTCAAACGGCGTTCCGTAATAAAACAAACACATAATAATTGCATTGAAAAGCACCGGAAGTTAGAAACTTTACAAAATTGCTATGCTATAGAACATCGTATTTGACTTGAACAAGAGGGCACCATTTACCTGTTATTTCCTCAGGATAATGTTAGTGGGAAATAACGGAAGCATAAAAGTGGGAGACTAGACATAATTTCCTTTATGATGAATAAATGCAACTGATATTTTTCCATTATAACTCCCTAAAGGTAGCAATTCTACAAATAGACTTTGTAAAATGAGACTTGCCGTCTCACCTTTGGTATTGCCTGAACATATCTTAATATTCACCTATAAAGTCATGAATATCAAATTACCAGTTATTTTCAGTTATTTAAAATGATATTAGAACTTTTTAACCAAATATACCTTGTAAATATAAATTCAGATTAATAGAATATAGACAAGACAAACTAAAGAACAAAGCTGAAGAGAAACACATATTTATACTTAAAACACAAACATGCTTATCTTATCCTTCTATCATTTATTCAATTTAGATTTTTTTTAATGTCAGTTTTCACTTAGTTGCGTATTTGTCATTTTTTAAAAACATTTTTGATACATTTGTGATACATTTGAGAAGTCTGTTACATTATGAATATTGGTAGAACAAAATGTATGTTTTCGTTCCAAAAACCTAATTACTGTACGTCATTTGATACGTTACCGAGGGAAACATACTGCATATCTTTTTTGCACAAGAGGGAAATAGCGTGGCATTCTACGATTTTTTTGGTGTCTGAAAATTGTCACTGACTTTTTTGAACCAATTAAATATAGAAACGGTACATTAAGAATGCAAAACAATTGCAATTAAGCCGCAGAAACCAACCCGCGTTCGTTTCTAATAGTAGCAGAAGTAATTAAGAAGGGGGAACGTAGATTTCACGTCAAACGAGACGCGAATAAAATAAAAACCTATAAATAATTGACCAAATGGACCGATGCCAACGAGAAGTACAATCATAAATAAGCCGCGTCATGACAAAACCAACATAATGCGTTTGCGACCAGCATGGACCAAGACCAGCCTGTGCATCCGCGCAGTCTGATCAGGATCCATGCTGTTCGCTTACAAAATGTATTACAAGTAGAGAAACTGATAGCGAACAGCATGGATCCTGATCAGACTGCGCGGATGCGCAGGCTGGTCTGGATCCATGCTGGTCTCAAACGCATTACGTTGGTTTTGTCGTGACGCGGCTCAAATAAGTCTATAATTACAACGTAGTGAGGTCTTGAAGACATTGCTCTGCACTAAAACTGAATAGCCAGCAGTTTATATTCGTGCTGCTTACTTAACCTAATTTTTAAAGCCTTACTTAAGGTCAAAATTCGTTTCTGCTTAAATATTTAAGAAGATGGAACTATTATAATAAAAAATAGTCACATATGTATAAGTAGATTTAATCAACACTGTTAGCTTAAGATTGTTTCAACATAACTGTTCAACCATATGTAATAAATAACCGTGTAAATGCCTTGTTTGTGCGTAAATTATTTTTAATTGAATTTATTGTCTAAAAAAAATTTAAATAGTGGATAATGAACTTCTTTATTTTTATAGGGCAAGATTATGAGGCAAAGAAGTATATAAAAATTACAAATATGTTCGAAAATATGAAAGAAAAAAAACGAGGGATTAGTACATTGTATGAAGATATCAATAAAGGCGTTTCTGTCAGATTTAAATATCGACCGTTCTTACTGCAAATTTTGTACATGAAGCTGCTAAACATTTATAGCAAAGTTCAATTTCAAATCAAACTTCAAATGGAAAGGAATTTAAATACAAAAAGAAACAAACAAACAAAACACAGAGCAAATTCTCACAAACTATCACACGATCTGGTTACAACGATAAAATCTATTAATAGTAACTAATTTCAGTGTGGGTGGTGCATTACGTAAGAAATGGACCAACGTAATAATTACCAAAGTACTCTATTTATTTGCCATTTGCTTTTGGCTTCAGACTTATAAGAGTTAATCTATATTTCTAAGAAATATCTTACGATAGCTTAGGCGGTCATAGGAAATCAGACTTTATATATAGACACAAATCTTAAAGCTGTTTTTATAGAAAGAAACATCGATACTAGTTTAAACGAGAATCAATAGAGAAAAAAATCATGCGCAATCATATACAATGTACGTAAATATAAGAATTTAGAATTTTGAAATATGACTGAAATTAAAATAAAAAGTACATGAATATTACCAGTCTTAAAAAAACATTAAACCTTGTTTCTTATAAGATAAAGAACAATACACTGTAAGAAAAATCAATTTTTTTCTTCTGAAAATCAATCATAAGTTTGCATTTTAGTTAATCATAGCATATGTAGATAAACCATGATTAGATTGTATATGAATTTTGATGTTCTGGTGGCTTTACTTTCATGGCATGACATTTACCCTTTCAGCATTCAAAGGACAATTGAATGTACTATTAACCATAAAGAATTCCACCCTGAAACTATGATAAAAATCTAAAAGTATAAAAAAAAGAAAAAACAACAGAAATTGAACAAAATACTATAATGAATAAAAAAACTATGTACTGAACAAAACATAAACAGGACTTATTTCATAATTCAAAACACAAAGTACACGGGACTTTTCCAGGTCGTTATAGTGTGCGAGCATTACTTACTACGGTTCTTTTTTATTGCCTCATCAAAGAACCTAATAATATATAAAAGGGTCATGTGGTGCATATATCTAAATGCACTTTATGTACTCTAAAAGTACACACAACGTCCTCACATTTTTCGTACTATACAGTATGACTTAATAATTGCACGTAAGGATAATGAAATCTTAATTACTTTTCGCGATTAATTTCACTTTTGTTTAATTCCACTCCTAACAAAAAAGTATGGAGAAGCTATAAATACTATAACCAATCGGTAGAAAGAACTGTATTTTTTTGCTACAATGTTGCCATTTTTCTTCGAGCCTGTAATCTTAGGTTTACAAGTTTGTTTATCAGTTCACCTATTAATGTATCGCCACTCATAAATGCATGTTCTCTACATCATTACAATATGTTCTTAATCATTACCCGACATAAAAAAGAACAAGAAAAAAGTACAGAACTTTGAGTATGATGGAAATAGGGAATGCTTGAACATGTGGTAAAAACAATACCATGGATATAAATAGATGATCTTTTGTTTGCAAGAATATTTTTTCTCAGGTAAATCAAGATAATCGTGTACCAACCATTTACTCTCTTGGGTGGAAAAAACAGATCGATTCCGATAATGTGGCTTCAAGTCAATATGCAGGACAAATAATTGATTTACCACTGTTGAACCTACAGTTGGAGGTAGATAGCTGAGCAAACATTGTTATATTAAAAGTTATCACGACAAAAGAAAAAAAATGTTGACTAGAAATAGAAGTTTTAAAGTGGGTGTTAACTTTAAAATCAATAGTAAAGTTTTAGTAACTAGAATACAGTAACGTTAAATTCTCAAATAATTCTTTCAAAAAATTATTATTCTCTAAATTAATGGATAAAAAAAGCAAAGAAGCTTAAGTCCGCCATTTTTATTCAAGTAAGAAATGTACAATAAAATATCTAAAAGCTGTTATATGGGTAAAAATATATAGTGTTTCTATATAAAAATATTAGAGTATTAGTGCGAACATAGTATTCATTTTACTCAGGTACAATTAATTGCCAATTTATCACCTTATTTCTGTACTTAATTATGTTTCATACAATAATTGCCCGTATACTATATATTTATATAGTTGTATCGGATATAGAATTTTCTACATACAGAGTACGAATGTACACGCAACATAATCTTTTTCTCATATTTTTACCCAGTTTTTAAGCATGACGTAAAGCACGTTCATGATAAATCAAGGCGAAAAACAGCCATCTGTTTTTAAAACTGTCATGTATTGTTATTTTATCGATATTTGCATGTATATGTTGTTATAAGTGTGTACTTTCTGCAGACAATTCTGCCCTATTTCATGTCATGTGCATCAATGTTGCATATAGACAGACCAAGCACATATATTGATCGATACTAGCGCGATTAATTCATTGATAATTCTAGGAAAATACCACTTCAGTAATAATAACATAGACAACATCATTTGCAAGTGTCAACTCGGTTTACAAAACAATGTTTTTACGTTTAATTAGTGAGCAAATAGCATACAGTGCGATTGAAATTAGAGCTGGGAGTGAAGAGAAGTTGTCGGCATGACTTAACAACTTGTTTGCCTTGTGTTTAAAGTGTAAACAATAAACTCCGTCCAATAATCAGTGAACATTGAAAAATTCATACAAATTATTGATGTGTTGGTAAACTAATGCCGAATTAGTCAGGGTACAATAGCGCAAAGTAAATCATATACGCGTAGCTAATCATTAATACTGAAACGTATAATAACAAACACGTGTTGATAATAGTGTAACAGACATATATTTGTATGTACATGTTGATATTGTATTATCTACCGTATAGTTATATACTATTCATAAGTATGCTGGATATGATTGTCAAAATATTCAGCATAGACGTAAATAATTAACGCACCATTCGTACTAAGGTAACAATAAATAGAAGAATAAATCTGGTATTACTTACCCTAGAGTTGTCATGGTAACGATGGTATACCAAGACGATGCAGGAATACTTGTGAACTTTGTCTTCGGCACATTTTTCTCTGCATAAAACATAACAGTGGCAAATATAATGATAGCCATAGTAAGGGAGAAGAGCAAAAAACCTAGTTCACTTGCGCAGCTCTTCAGAGTATAGCCCAGAATTCGCAGACCTTGCGAATGACGAGAGAATTTGAAAATCCTAAATACACGAAACACTCGAAGGGTCACAAAGGCTCCACTGACGTCATCATTTTCTGGGATAAGCAGACCGATGTAATACGGCATGATAGCCACAACGTCAATTATACACATGACGCTTCGCATGAATTTTAAGCGTTCCGGCGCGGCGTAAAAACGTAACATATACTCCGCCGTGAAAATCATTACACAGGCCGTGTCCAAACAGAAGAATGCTACTGAGTACTTATCCCCGCATGATAGCCTTTTGCCTGTCCCCGGGACCTTCCCGCATGGAATAGTTTCAACAACGTTTGCAAACACAGAAACGGCGATAAAGAAACCAGTAACGTAATAGAATACAAGAGCGGCGGTGCCAACATGTGGGTTTTCAAACGCTCGCCACATTTCAGCGCGGATAGATTCGAGGGGTTCCGTGTCCCCTGCATCAGAAGCTTTGTCATCCAAAAGTCTTTCGCTGTTTTCCCTTTTTCTATCTCTATAATCCTCGTAACAGCAGTCACCAATAAGGTCCGGCATAATACCGAAAAAAGCAAGTTCTTCATCGTAAGATGATATACATTCATGTTTGGGATAGTGAAGTTTACCAGTCCGATAATAATTTAAAATATGTCTAAATATATCTGGGTCTCTATCAAAGAAATATTCTTTATATTGCTCGTCGTAAAAGAAATCCTTTTCGTTCGAGCCCAACAACGTGTCGGGATACTTGTCTAGAGTATTTTGCCAGGTCTCGAACCTTCTTCCACTAACATTGATCAAAAGCTTGTCGTCCCCCCGACCATCTTCGACCCCTTTAACCCGTGAGTGGGGCAATGGATTTTTCGCAACGGGCACCCATCCTATGGCAGACGCTCGCGCGAACGGTAACCAGGCTGCAACCGAAGCCATACTTGAGCCAGTCTTGGAGGGAGACGGAAGTTCGAAATTCTCTAGTGCAACAATTTTGAAGCCGATCTAAAGACAGTTCCACATTTTGACAGAAAGCACTGAATGAAGGCTAATGAGAAATTGTAATCACTACAGAGTGAATTATTTATCCGTGAAAATTTCCAGAATAGAAAAAAAAACAAGTGCTAAACAACTCCACTAATTATTTAAAGAAAAAACATGAGAAAACATCCTCTTTAAGAAAGATGAAATAACTTTTGCACGTTTTATTCCAGGAGACAGAATCTAACACGCGAGAAAAAACGATGCAATCTGTAATCTCGATATATCCACATTATCTTCTGTATCCATCTAAATAACTGCAGTACAATTGAATTTTTATCCTCATGTCCGGAATTTGTCAGCCGATATATTCCGTGTTATACCATACCGCGACAAAACGCGTTTTTCTCTCCATTCCACCTAACTACTCTTAGCTCGTCGCCATTTTGGTAAGAAAATTGCAACTACAGATTCTCCGTTATATTGTTCCGTGTAGTCCACGCGCTTAGACAATAGACTCTGCTACACTCTGCTACCGAATCGTCAAGCGCTCGGCGAGCGAGACACAAAATCAATGACTACTGTACTATTCGACGCAATGCATACTGTCAATATACAACTTGCCGAGGAAGACTTGCATAATTAGCCACTTTCTCATTCAAAATTCATCAGCCGGGCGAGTTAAAATTGTTTCTATCGGCTTGTATCGTATACTAACACGAGAGATGATCCGGCCTGTGCGAGGATTCACACAAACGATAGTCTGCTTGGATTTATGATCGAGACCACCGCGTATAACAAACTGAATGTCTACTAATTATGTACTCGGGTCAATGTCTAATACATCGGCACATATATCTATGTATCTTTATCCCGCTGTTCAGGTTTATTTCTCATAATTCTCTTTTGGAATCAATTCTCCAATATGGACTTACTTTTAGGTTAGTTATCTGGAGAGTATTTAGTCTCGTGCTAATTCCAGAATTAATGTTATGTACACCGTTTAAAGAATATTAATTGTTGCATTTTTTTTTGTTTTCATTTTCATGCACGGGCGCGTGCGCTAAATAACACAAAAACATGTACAAAATATCTACTCTGTAACAAATTATATGAAACATATTGCGTAAAGTTTACTATATATTGACAATCGATAAATAATTAATGAAGCGATAAACTCCGTTTTAGATAAAAGCGTCATTTTATTAAATTATAGAAACATACAAAAGGCAGTGGACGACTTTACCAATATGTTCTGGTATTGATTAGCATAACGAAACTAATACTTTTAAGCAATCCGATCTGATGGTTAGATATATGGCCATGTGCGTCCCGGCAAATCAAATTATATTGTTTAAAAAAGAAAACAAAAACAAAAAGAAAAAAACCCCAAAAAACTGTGTTTTTATGTAAATCTTAGGGTTTTTTTTCGCTTTTTATGTTTTCATGGTACTAGTGAAATTTCTGAGCATCAAATTAATCTTTAAAAAGGAAATTACCTTCAAACTTTAGATAAGATATTATTAAGTTTTCGTTATTGATCCTGCATTTATCTGTATAAATAATGAAACTCATAAAATATCAAAGGTAAATTGAGGTAAACTGTCCCTTATTTTATTGAAATATAACCTAAAATATTGTTTGAAAGCAAAAGAATTTTTAACAAATAAACTTGTTTTCAGTGATTTCCGCATCATTATAATCATCATCGTCGTCATCATCATCATCATTATCATTATCTACGACGAAGACGACGACGACGTCATCATCATTTTTTTCATGTTCATAAACTCATCATCACCTTTATAAGGCTCCTTTTCACTTCTCCTCCTCATCAACATTATGATTTTCATCCTTATTATTATATTTCTCATCCCCCTTGTCATCATCATCATCATCATCATCATCATCATCATCATCATCATCATCATCATAATCCCTCTCTTTTCATTTCATAATCGTCCTTTCCCCCATATTGCTAACATACAACTTTCCTGATCCTCATCATGCTAAGTCATTGCATTTAGTCTATGGCTTTATTATTAAAGCAGAACATAATTTATAACAAGTGATGATATATATAATTTTTAGCATGAAATGTAATATCAAACTCATTATGTTCTGCTTTAGTAATTAAGCCATAAAGTATATGTATTATATTTTATGCATATGTTGTAATTTATAACAAGTACCTGCCCATTCATATAATCAAAGGGCTGCAAGCTCTGTGGTATTTTCTGATCTTTGCAATCTAAATCGTACTGTATATCTGTATTTGTTTTCCTGTATTTTTGGCGTCCTCGGCGCGGCGCCTGTTATGGAATGAGAAAGGGCGACAGCAACTTCTCGAGCCTTTTAGTCGGACATAATAAAAGCCGATCATTCCGATCAGTATGAGGGTGCTTGATTCCCTGCGGTCTGGAGACCGCATGGTATTGGTACGCGTTTAACTTTTGAGGCATGGAGGAGCACGTGACCTGTTTTCGGTACATGGAGGAGCATGTGATCTGTAAACCGTACATGATTTGTTAATTGACCTTTTCGGAAACCTGGATAAATACCGTTTGCCGGTACGTTACGGATAATCCTCTAGGGAATAAGACACCTAATTAAGAACAAAAAACTATTACGTGATATTTTTAATTTTCTATAATTATGTTACCGTTTAAGGTGGTAAAACTTGAATGGTGTGTTTGAAAATTATCAATGTTTCTTTAATATGTATCTCAAAATGTTACAAACAATAAATTGTTTATACTGAAAATCTACAAAATTAAAATATTCGTAGTGGCATCTGCCATAATAAATACTTGTGTGTTTACTTTATTATTTTTTTTTTTGCTCGGAATTATTCATAAAATGGTAGGCCTATTTAATTATTTTCTTAAAAAAGAAATAATTGTTTTATGTTCGACCTTCTCCGGTCATCAACGGTCACCAGTTTCCAAAGACCTTCTTCTATATTAATCGATTACTGTCAACTATATTCCTGATACAAACGTTTATTTATCCTCGCCCCCCCCCCCCCCTCAATTCAAAATAGTTAAATGAAATATATTTATATCATTAAAAACGTTGCCCGCAGGAAACCATTTTACTTGTTATTAATTAAAAATGAAATGTCGCGATAAATACAATGAATAGTGAACTGGAGAATTTCGCAATGCAAACATTTTCAAATGAAATAACCTTTTCCGTCAATAAATCGCGCTCTTCGGGGTATTTTTATTTATCATTTTGTAGTACACAGTGGGTTATTATGGTACATGTATCCGAAAGCTGAATAGAATGATGAGTTGGTGACCTATATATTCCGAAAATCTATTTATAGAGGGATGTATTCCTATCGTTAATTCCCGGTCTCTCCTGGTCTATTTTGACCGGAATTTACAAGTGACCGGCGAATAGTACAACACGTTTATTGTCCGGTCTGAGTAGATGTTTGATATCGTTACAGAACAGAACAAATATTTACAGTTATATAAGTTTTTTTCAAAATGAATGTTTGTCACTTAGTTTGGTTACAATAATTAATAAACACAGATCAACTCTCAAATTTATTGATTATTATTATACATAAACATACAATTCGAAAAAAACCCAACAACAACAATAACATGTTTTATTTTATCTATATGAGATAAAAACAATAAATATGTACAATAATTGAGAAAAAAGGTACATTTTTATGGTATTGATATGACACTATCAACTTTGAAACATTTTATTTAATTTGTTATTCGTGTTTAGTAAAGATGCCGAGGAAATATTCAAAGTTACAAATTAGATTTTATGAATTATTCAATTGATTGATAATTTAAAAAATGATAAAGAAAAATACAAATGTACATGTTTATGTTTTAAGAATAAACAATATTATATATTAAAAGTTTAACCATAATTTACTGACTTTTTCCAGTTAAGTTTTTACTTATAATCGTCGGTTAAAATAGTAGTAAACGTAAAAACTCAGTATTGAAATAGCACATAAAACACAAAAAAGAAAAGAAAACAATATTCATAAAATCTGTATTTTTTTTTATTAAAATAGATATTACAATTATTGTATAATAAACAATTATGCTCAACATGATCAACATGGTAATGTAACCAGTGTCATATTGTTAGTAAGTGTGAACAGATACCTTTAGAGGGGGTCTTCGCTAATAGCGATAACATAATAAGGGACAATTACACAAGTGTGGTGTTGATCATGCATTACACATATGGATTATAAATGATTGTATACATGTATATCCGTTGCTAAAAAATCATTTATGTTCATTTTTTATGATAGCCACACTTTATCCTTGCATATCGTGGCTATTTCCTTAACAAAGACACTAAAAAAAGAATTTAAAAAAATGTTGACTCGACTGGGATTTGAACTCCAGACCTCTCACACATTAAACGAGCGCGTTACCCCTGCACCACGGAGAAGTTATAAAAACAGAGGCTGAATAAAATCAAGTCATTCTAAATTTAGAATTTCCATTGCATTTCGGGTTAGGGTAATTTCGAGGTATTTTGTTCAGGGTAAACCTGTTGTTTAAAATTGAAGTAAATAATTTAGCAAAAATCTTCTCGCCCAAACAGTCCAACATGTAGAAACTATATATTCAACTACTCGGCAGTCAGATTTATTTGTGTAGTATTCGGTAATCGACATCGCTAAAAATAGCATTTTCATTGATTAAAATCATATTCATCCGCGTAATTTGTGAGTGTGCATTTATTGACAATTCTATAAGCCAACGCTACTTTTAAAGTTTGAATGTGTAGTAATTTGTTGGACACTTGTAACAAAAAAATGTTCTTTCTTTTAAATTGCTGGTTTTTAAGCAGTTTTGAGTGAGAACTACTTTGCGTTGTTAGGACTGTTAGGAAATTTTGTGTTAGACCGTGGATGTTAGCTATGTATTTACTGATCTTGCGATCAGAAAATACAAAAAACCTGCATAAAATTTTATCAGAGTCAGTGATAATATTAAATAATTTCAATGATGGTGAGGATGATGTTGGTGATAATAATTTATGTGATTATGAAGATATTGGTGATGAAAATGATGTTGGTGATTATGAGGTTGGTGATTTTGATGATGATGATGTTGGTGATTATGATGTTGTTGATGATGACGATGATCTTGGTGATGATGATTTCGGTGATGATAATGTTGGTGATGGTGATGATATTAGTGATGATGATGATGTTGGTGATTATGGTGATGATGTTGGCGATGTTGATGTTGGTGATGATGATGGTGATGGTTTTTGTTGATGATGATGTTGGTGATGATAATGTTGGTGATGATGATATTGGTGATGATGATGGTGTTGGTGATTGTGATTATGATAATGATGATGTTGAAGGTGATTATGATGAGGTTGGTGATGACGATGATGGTAAGATCAATCATAATTGTTGAAATTAACCCCCATCCCCCCCCCCACAAAAAAAAACAGCATATAAAAAACAACAAACACTAATTAACCATTTTAAGTTTGATGATTTGAGTGCGTAATTGTTTTAGTATATTTTTTTATAAATATTCCAATGCTTAAACATCATTTGCTATATGTAAGAAATATACATATCTCAATTCGGCTACCATACTCGTATGCATGTCCCTAATGTAATCATAAAGAGAAATGTAATACTTAATGTGAAAATGTCGACATCCTTACAATGATTTTATAAAGAAGGAAAGACATGT